CTTTAATGTTGGCTCTGTTGCTGTGAATAAATGTCCTTTATTTGCCCATTTCAAGTCTGGAATTAGAGGGTTTGAAACACTTGTCAAGTGGGACATGAGTAAAATATGGAGGAGAAAAAATGAGTTCCCATCTTTTGATTAGATGAAGGTGAAACTGATGAAGAATAATGTGGACCAGGAAGGAACGTGGTTCTGATGGTGCTTTAGATATAAATAGTGTGATGGTATATAACGTAACAAGTAATGGTTTGGTTTCGAAGCATTGCTTGGTGAAATTCAACACAAGGAAAGTTTTTTTTTCAGAAATGACGATAAAGATACTCATACTGTAAAAGTAATCATGTCTCAGCCACTGCAGTCTGTCACGGTCTGCTAGCTAGCTCCTCTCTATGCTAACTACTGTATTTACAACAATATCAACGGGGGCTTTGTGCTTTGGGATCGTCTGTCAGGGGAAACGCTGAGTCTGGCTGTCACTGTATTCAGTGATGACATAATTCCTGCCCAAAGTCACACTTAATTTACACTATGGAGGGAGAACGTACCTACCTACAGTCAGACTTTAGTTACACTTGCACTGCAGTGGCGGCCTGGGGATGGGATGGAGAATGAGTGTTAATCACAGAAGGAGGAGGTTGTGTAGAGGGAAGACACAGAGGGACAGAGAGAGGAAAACTGCAAATATTCTGAGCAGACTGTTTACCAAGGAAATAATCATGTAACGCTAAACAGACTGAACCAAAATAATAGACTTAATCATTCTTGTATGTACTGTATGTACTGTATGTATGTAGAAGGCAGAGAGCTACTTGACCTCTTGACTTCATGAGCGTGCGCTTGCTATGGATACACAGGAATTGCTGACGCTTCAGATGCTATTCTTAGCACGGCTACACACTGTATCATTCCTACATGGGATCAATTGCCTGTTAAAGATATGGTTGATCTCCTGTTACCCATAATTAGATGTATTGATCTCTTCATGACCATTACTGAAGCCACAATGTGTCCATACAGTACATACTTTTAGGGAAACTAAATAACATGGAACTGTATCCTGCTTCCTCTTGTTACCTGCATATAGGTCATACAGACATATATGCATCAGCTGTCATCATTGAAGCGTGATCCCATTCAATATTTTGTATACTTGTCATACTTTAACATAAATATTTATCATATGCGCATACATACATGCTGTACATATATACATATCATGTATTATTCCTATTGCAAGGTAAAAATCTGGCTCAGACAAAAGAATATCTGCAGAGTGTTGAGATGAGGCAACACAGTAACAAACACAGTGATACTGCTACACACGTTACAACATGCATGACAGTGTAGAAGACGATTTACAGATGACTTCCGACTAAAAGAGAACAATGACATACAGGAGGACACTGACAAGTGTTACCACATAAAACACATTTTCACACAAATTATTATTTTACACAAGGAAGCTTTTAGGAGTTAAATTTAGAGTCGGTATATTGTACTGAGTCGTAGCCCGATGTACTGAGCCGCTGACTGTAATGTAAAAATTGTCTACAGCAGAAATTAGTAGTGATGAATAATTTTGCAGATGCCTTGTGGATATTAGAAAACTTCTGGTCTTAGAAAATAATTCCACCAACAATCTATTCTGATAAATATCATCATTATGAATAATAAACGACAGGGTAAATAAGGGTGTGATGAAATGTGGCTGAAGAGCGAATGCGCCCTGCTAAATATAACAGCTTGTTTATGAATAGATTTATGCATATTCTGTTTAATGTATGATATTTGTTAAGCCTCAACATTGTATTAAATTGCGATGCAGAAATTCTGCCGGTTTAAAAGTGATGGGTGTTGAAAAATAGAAGATATTATCTTTATTCTTGGGTCAAATATACATTAAAATTTTTCATTTGTTAGTAATGAATAATGAGGTTTTTTTTTTCAAAAAAGTCCTTGAGAATGTCCTGAACCAGTGAGATTTGTGCCATTTTTATGTTAATTTCACCGTTTTGTTAGAAATGTCCTTTATCGGTCCAATTCTCAGAGGACAAATAGCAGGTGATGGTAAAACTTATAGGAGAACACAGGAAGAACACAGAGAAGTCAAATCACCAAACAACAAAACACAGTTGTACAAAACTCAAAAACATCGAGAAAAAAACAAACAAAAACAGATCATATGCAACAGCAAAATATAATAATTAAAAATAAATATAACTTAATCCTATGGACATAATACACCACAATATACTTAATGAAAGATGTAAACACCACGTTAGAAACAAAAGACACAAATAAGCACAAGAAAGACCCAGAGAAATACAAAGAAAAATAAAACAATTGTACACGTACAGTGAGGAACTGAGAGAGAGGAGAGGGGCAGAGACAGAGGAAGAAGGACAGAACCCAACGAGACTGAGATCCTTGAAGAAGGTCTAGAGGAGTGATTGGGAGTGGGCAATCAAAGGGGTGATTGACCGTTTGACCTTAGTGAGCCATGCATATTGCATTGGGTGCGTAAAGAAGTCAAATGGCCAACAATCAAAGAGAAGAAACGGAAAAGCTAATAAAAGAAGATGGCAAATACATCTTATGCGTGTATCTACGAAAGAAATCACAACTGAAGCACACAAGAATGAGTTTCGGACAGCACGAGAATCCCTCTTTAAAGGCAAGAAGGAGAACGCTTGTCATCAGCGGAGAACAGGGACATTAACTAACAGGAATCAAGTATTTTCCTTTTTCGTTCATTTGCAATTTTTGCTAATTTGGAGATATTGAGAACTGTTTGTCTTCACGTAAATTGCAGATTTTTTTAACCATATACAAAACTTTCTATATGTAGCCAACTGTTTATTTACACATGCACTGGGTGAAAGGTGGGGAACAGCGAGGACAGGTCATTTGTCTATCACAGGGCTGTATACACACGTTCCTCTTTACAAAACACTAGAGAATCAGGCTCTGGAGATTTACTGTAGCCACCCAGTACAATGTGTATTCCCAGTGCACAAGGTTCAACATATTAATACAGACTGACAAAGGAGCAAGGGCCGTTATAGATCCCCAACCTAAACTTTCCTGTAAGAAACCAAACCCTGAAGCAGCTTCCTAGTGACTCCAGCACTTATTTTCTTCAATAGACTCCTGATTTACTTTAAAGAGGGATTTTTGTAGCATTTAAATTGCAGTTTATACATAAGAACCATTGAAACTGAAGCAATGGCAGCGACCTGTAAGTGAAGGGCTTGGACAGCTCAAGGCTTGCTTACCTTAGACAGCATGTAGCCTCTTTTCAATCAAATCTGTCACAGTGTTTTGTCTGTCTGTCTGTCTGTCTGTCTGTCTGGTCGGTTAAGTGTGTAAGTGTTTCAGTCACAGAGTGCAGCTTTGGATTTCTATCCAGGTCTCCACAGAGGAAATACAAAAGGTCCTGAACTTTGGACTACACTAGGCACTGAAAGCACAGTTACAGGGTCTAGGGAATAGTATTTCAGATCCATTACACGCTCACAGCACAGTATTTTGTAAATCAGCATTGAAATAACTGGTTTAAAAGTCAAGAGGCTTTGTTTACAAAGCTGAGGTAGGACATTGAGTGATAATAGTTTTAAATCGTTTGCTTGTTTCCAGCGTGGCATGTCTCAAGAGGTACTATCCCTTGACCTCGACGGCTCCCTTGACCCCAATGACCTTGGGCCTTGGAAAGATGATTGTCATACAACACTGCAATCAGCGTCACAACTGTGTGAAGCCGGCCAAATGATTTCACATGAAATAAGGCATACGTACATGTAAGTATGCACATCTTTGAGCCTGAAATGTATCGTAGCATAGAAGTACATGTACATATTATATATACTGTAGGAATGTAGGTAGACTGTGTTTTTGGGGTTTTTTTTTAGGGCAAAAAAAGTTTCTGGGTTGCAGTGTAGGCTTTTGTTTACCAAGGTGGAGGTCCGCGGGGGAGGGAGCGACACGAATAAACACAGTAGAAGGGAAAAAAAACTAAATTAAGCCACACACGACAACACAAACACAACACTCAGACGGCATTGAGAGGACAGAGACACAGTGTATAACATGTAAGAATGAAAAAGCCCACATACACACGCGTGATATGACACAACCTGAAGAGAGAGACAACAACAACACAGAGGCACATCAGACAACAACGTTGACCCACTGTTCCCGTTCAGTCTTCTTCAGTGTGTGTTTTATTAGTTATTGACACAGGACACGACAACTGGGTTTTTTTCGCTCGAGCTGCCGGGTGTTATTTGCACATGTGGACGTCCACACGGGCTCGCTCTTGCACTCATGACTCTAATGCAAGTTTGAAGCTCTCACACAGACACAAACGTACACAAGCATACACATATTAGTGCACACTACTCATTGTCGATGTATATCACAGAGCAATCCCATTTTCTTTCCAAAAAATCTTTTTTTTTTTTCTTTTTTTACATCTTGTACATTGTTTATTGAGATTGTCGCTGAGTTCACAAAATTATAATGAAGCAAATTTGTATGCAGGTAGGATACTGGACTGAGGTTAAGTGTTGTTGGATAAAATACCTCACAAATAAGATAATGAGCCTTAAAATGCCATTTGCCACCCAAACCTTAATATTCAGATTTAAGCTCTATCTAACCTTAGCTCAGCAGCTGGCGTAAATCTTTTAATGTGATATTCAAAATTGACAGCACACTCTCAGGCACAGAGAAGACTCTTCACAGGTGACACTTCAAACTCCATTGAACATGTAGACACAACACTGTGGAAATGGTGGTGTGTATCTGTCATTTGAAGTCATGCATAGTGTGTGTGCCTGTGTGTGTGTTTAAGTGGGTGCTGTGCTGGTGTAGTGTAATTTGTGCAACCGCAAAACATGCTATGTCATGGAGAGCCAGATCGGAATTACTGGATGTTTTCGATCAAAGGTTGACTAAGCTACGGGCTTCGTTATTGTTTTTTTAACTTTTGTCAGTGTTACCTCTGGTCTATGGTTTGATCCAGGAGGAGGTGGAGTTTGCATTGAGGTCCTGCTGTAACAGAGACCCTTCCATCTTATACCAATCCTCAGTCAGAGGGGAGTCTGGGCTGGGTGCCAGGGCTGCTGCCTCTAGTTTGTTGTCAACAGGGGGTGTTGAAAGTTTGGAAGGAGTGTGAGGGAGTGTTTAGGTGCAGGTTGGCGACAGTGGTGGTGGTTAGATTGCAGCAGTAAATGAATCAAGGTGTCAGGTTTTCATGAGCACAAAGATAACGCATATGGGATTTTAAAAAAAAAAAAGGCAGGAGGGGTTACAATGTTGCACATAAGGAAAAGAAGATGGGAAATGAGGGTATGGGTTTGAAGATGGGGCAGAGGGGAAAGGGAGTCGGGGGGGGGGGGGGTGTGCAGGTTAGAGGGGGAGTGGTGGGTGGGGGAGTCATTACAGAGGGAGGGAGAGAGGGCAGGGCGGCAAGCCAAAAGAAAAGGACAACGTGAGGCAGGAGAGAGAGAGAAACAGAGAGGGAGAAACAGAAGTGACGAGAAGTAAATTAATGCATGGTCAACTGTCTGAGTCCAGAAGACAGAGAAAGACTGAGATCGTTCATGAGCATGAATGAATGTGACATCATGGGATACACGACAAACTTCACAGACACCATGAAAAAAATGGAAGACATGACTGAGGGAGTGAGGAGAGAAAGAAAAAGCAGAGAGGTAGAGGGACAGAAAATCTTGTCTGACACAAGAAATAAAATATGATACCAAGCGGTGATGGAAATACAGACAACATGAATGTGAAGAGGTGGAAACAAACAGAGCAGAGCAAAAGAGCTGAGTGTATGTGCATGTGTTGTATGACTGTATATGTGTGTACGTTTTCCTGCTTGCTGTGACCGGAGCCTTCTATCGGTAGCTGAGGCTTCCAAAAGTCATGTTCATGTATGCTCTCCCGTCCAAACCATCTTTCCTGTGTTTGAATGTGATCGTATGTACATGCAGTAACCTGTGTGTGCTTATCTGCACCGGATGCACACCGGACATAAATAGCATACATGCTTACAGTATGTTGTGCCTGGCATCTTGCTGTGTGGATCTCTTTACAGAAGATGTGCATGTGTATGTGTCTGTCTCCTGGTGTGAAACGTACCTTTCCGCACATTCCCATCTGTGGCACGGAATTCCCTGGTGTTGAGCAGGAAGCAGGCGCGGTCCTGCTGGTAGCGTTCCCGGGTAGGCCCACGCCCAATAGGGCTCCTCTCGTCTGGGCTCAGCACCTGGTCGATGGTGGGGCAGTCCTCATTAGCCAGGGCGGCCGAGGCTGCATCACCGTTCTGCTTGGAATCTAGAGGAAAGGGAGAGCGGTGGGGGTGGGGCGACATAGAGCGGAAAATACTGTTTCACACACATGCTTTCAAAGATGAATTTCTATTACTTTTTTTCATTGATCAAGCCTGACAAAATAAAGCAATGCATTTTATATTACAGACTGACATCAAGAGGTCTGGTAATAGTCAAAGAGCTGTAACAAGTAGGGTTATTGCAGATATTTCAAAATATTTAAATTTTGTTTAAGTTTTGTTACACAGTGCCATAGGGTCACTATAATTAAAAAAGTGCTAAAACAATTCGTCATTTAAAATTTCAGTTTTGTTTTTCTTATACATTTATTAGCACTGTAAATTGATATTTTGGATTTTTCTTGCTGTTAATCAGCCAAAAATCTTGTGAAGGGTATTTGCATTATTCTTTTTTACATTTTATCAACCAAATAATTAATCAAAAGTAATCATTACATTTGTATATGACAGAGGATGACCCTGTAAAACTGTCAAAGATGTTGAGTGGTCACAATTGTTCAGTTATGATCGGGGATGACTATTTCAGACAACATACACACACAGAGAGACATTAAGTTAAAATACAGTACAATATGCTGTTGTTTGTTGTGTTGGAGCTTGTGGTGATGATACTGCAAAACAGTCTTGGAGCCAATTTTGACTAATAAAACTTCCTGCTAAAAAAAATAAATAAATCTACTAACACAACCTACGAGAAACCTTTGCAGACTGGAAGACAGCCAAGCAGACAGGATGTAGTAAAAGCACTGATAAAACCAACATTTTCTGTCTGATGACTCAGGCAGTAAAGTAATGCATTAAAGGTGCATTATTGCTGCATGTGACCGAAGCATGTAAAGGAAGAGCCAATTTACCTCCCCCCCTGATTTTACTGCTAATGCCAGAGAGAAATATCTGCAGTCAGCCCAAATTGAGATGCATTAAGCTGTTTTAATAGATAATTGAGTTCATTCTACTTCTACAGTGTTTGTTCTTCACTGACAGATGGGTGCCTTAAGGCGACCGTGGACCTACCAGTTGATCATAAATTACACATGAGTTCTGATGGGCCAGTGATTTCTTCAGGGTGGATCCAGAATCAACTATGCATCACTTCCTGATAGTACTCGCACTTCTCTCTCTTTGGCACTCTAATCCTCCACTGGACCTCTGAACACATCAGCATGCATGCCTAAAACTGCCATCAGTAAACCGTAAGTAAGTAAATTTCCCAGAAGCCTGTTAGTCAATTTTTACCCAATTTACTTTGAGTGTAAAAATGTGAACTATGAAAATCAAATCTCTCACCTCTGTTAATCTCTATAATTTCTTCTTGGGCGAGAGGACAGTCACCCCCTATGCCTCCAGAACCCATCACTCCACCTAGGACATTTCCCAAGATCCTTTGAGGTGAGGCAGTAGCCATGGCCAGGGCATCTGGCTTGCAGTAGTTGGGGGATCCTGGTTGGGGTGCTCGAGGGATATGTTTGTTCTTCTTTTTGGGCAGCTTTTGTTTGGCCATGGCCAGAGAGTAGTACATGCCGAAGTTGTTGACAATGACAGGCACAGGCATAGCAATGGTCAGCACACCAGCCAAGGCACAGAGCGCACCCACCAGCATCCCAGACCACGTCTCCGGATACATATCTCCATAGCCCAGCGTGGTCATGGTCACAACGGCCCACCAAAATCCAATGGGGATGTTCTTGAAGTTGGTGTGGGCGCTGGCTGTTGGGTCATCCGGGTCAGCGCCAATTCGTTCAGCATAGTAGATCATAGTGGCAAAGATGAGGACACCAAGGGCCAAGAAGATGATCAGCAGGAGGAATTCATTGGTGCTGGCACGAAGGGTGTGGCCAAGGACACGGAGACCCACAAAGTGGCGAGTGAGCTTGAAGATTCGGAGGATACGGACGAATCGGACGACACGGAGGAAGCCCAGGACATCCTTGGCAGCTTTGGAGGACAGACCACTCAGGCCCACCTCCAGATAGAAGGGCAGGATGGCGACAAAGTCGATGATGTTGAGGGTGCTTTTGAAGAACTCGAGCTTATCTGGGCAGAAGGTGACTCGCAGCAGGACCTCAATGGTGAACCAGATGACACACACGCCCTCCACGTATGTCAACCAGCTGTCAGTCACCACCTCGTATACAATCTCCTCACGGGTGAAGTTGCCCACCGTGACGTTCTCTGTCTTGTTGATGATGGTGTTGAAGGCCTCATGCGTCTCCATGCAGAAAGTGGAGATGGAGATGAGGATGAAGAATAGGGAGCCAAATGCCACATACTAGAAGAAAAGGAAGAAACCAGCAAACAGAAAAAAAAGACAGGAAGAGAAAGGAGAAAAAGAAAGTGAGAGAAGGAGGAAGAGTCAGGTGCAAATCAAGAAAGTTCAGCAGGGCAAAAAAACATAAAAAAGCATAAAGAAAAACTATCGCTTTAGTGCAGTTTGAAACCTCAAGCCAACAGCAAAGGGAAACAACTGGTGTAGGTGCGACCCTTGTTCTGTCACACCCAACCCAAATACACATAAGTGATACTTAAGCCAAATACACAAACCTCGTGTGCGTGTAAAAATTATTTTTCAAAATAAAAAAAGAAGCAAAGATTTGTTTTGTAACAGCACAGCAGGCAAGTGGACCTTCCCTGAGGAGGACCTTGGCACAATTTGACCCGTAGTGACCGAAGTCCAAGGACAATCAGACTCATTAGGCCTAACCAAATTACATCTGACAGTCATAAATGATTGTGATGAACAATGAAGGTGTAAAAATAGATGTGCTGTCAGTATCATGTCATATCATGTGCCATCAGGAAAATGATAACTTACTGTGATTATAAGTTAATCAAATTATTAATAGCGCTATCAGTTCAATATCAAACTCCCCTTTTAAAAAGGAGCTTATTCTAATATGTATATTTTTGCTTTATTTTTTCTCTCACAATTATGATATACTGAGATTAAATTGCCCGAGAGCATCAGAGGAGACCTGGACCTGAAACCAGGTCCACCTAGACCCAACACCCTGAGGGCCCTGCCTCAGATTGACACACCTCTTAAGACATCATTTACATGAAATCGGGGGAAAAGTGCAGAAGAAACAGAGAGCAAAATCACAGTGCATTAATGTAACACTCAATCCAAAAAAAAGAAGAGGGTAGAAAAGTAATAGAAAAACACCACTAAGTTGCGATACTCTGCTAGAGAGGACACAGGATGGGATGGAGGGATGAGAAAGACAAGAAGCTGTAAGGATAAGATGGATAAATAACTGTATACCATCTGTATACCACAGTCCAGTAAACAAGTGAGAAGTCCCACAGCTCAGCGGGTGTTCTGTGTTCAAAGTGTCAAAGTGTGAGTTTAGAGGTGCAACTGTCAAGGTTGAACTGCGGTTTTCTAGTAAACAGACATTTGTTTACGGATATACGATATGATGTAAGACCCTGCAAACTTATGTTAGTTTCTTTGGAATCTTTATATTTAATATTTCAAGAAGCTACAGCGTTTACACCACGTTCATATATTCTCACATGCAGATTCAATTTACATCCTCAGGTAACATCACCCATTCCTGCTTCATCACACATTTAGACCAGCTGAGATGAAAGCTCAAATTAAGACTTAAATTAATTTTTTTTTTCTTTTTGCTGTTGTTCTACCTGCTCCCTGGCACTTCGGTAGGGCAAAGGATGTCTGGCACTTTTAAATAATTAATGTTTTTCAAGTCTTAGAAACAAAGTTACGGATTAGGCCATAAACGTAAGGCTGTATAATACGGCTTAACCGCCACAAATACACGGTGTATATCTGCCTCCTAGTTAAATGCATCTGGGTTATCTGTTCCTAAACATCAGTGAGGAAGCTACCGCATTATCTTGGTGTTTACCTGAAACGCATAAACTGTTTGGTTGAAGCCGTTTTCGCTGAATTATCGTTGTTATTGTGACCAAAAAAGACAAGTAATAGTAAAGTCCCAGTTTCCATTGGCATATGCCCTCTGTCCCCTTATCCACCTCTTTCTACAAGTTATACTACAATGTCTTGCAGCTCCATGTCTGCTTGTTCACTTCCAAATCTTTGTCCTCGGGGGAAAATTTCCTGGACAAAAAAAAAACAAAAAAATAAGTGAAGTCATAACCCTGCCACACCACACTGTCCCACCACAGAGATCTCTGTTGTTTTCCAGAGTTTATTCTTCAGGTTTGCTCTTTTTTTTTTTTATTTTTTTTTTTTTTTATTATCACTCAAAGGCAGTTTTCTTAGCACTGGCCACCTGTGTGTGCTCTGCAGGCTCAGTGTCTATATGTACCCAAGCTTATTATTCTACTGTAGCACATTCAATTGTCACTGAATCAATTGCAGTAGCGTGATAACACCAGTGTGTGCGTGGCTACTGCACAATCTTTCCCCGTTGCGGTCCATTCCTACAAGCCCTGCAGTGTATTTATAGATGCTGTGTACTTTGTGCTTTATCAAATAAATAATAAAACACAGACATGGCCTGAAGAGCAAAAGAGAAAGGTAATTCATACTTGAGTGGAGTCCATATATATAAGAAGCCTGAGTGCCCTCAGTGTATTGTGCGTGTCACCGTGTATTTTCGACATTATGCACTTATGTAATATCAAGAGCAGCATACTTATATGAGGAAACCTTATAACTAAGCAAACGGAGGGAACCGGTTTCAGTTATTTTTCTTGAAAGGTCTCGCTTCTCCCTCTTTGGATTGAAAACCGGAGAGCCTAAGCCTACACGCATTTGCCTCCATGACAGAATCAGACTAAGCAGAAGACTTAAGACTCTGACCCACGGTATTTATGGAGGAGATTAGCTGACAAGCATTTAGCCACAGAAGTGATCTTCCAGGAAAGTCAGCCATGACTGTCCATTCTGTAGTTTTCGTTTGCTATATTGGGATTGAGATTTGTTTTTGAATTAGCATAATGGTTGTTGGCTGGTAATTGAAGTAGGTTATGCTGTGTTGCTTTACAGAAGCAGCGTAAGGAAACATCATTTAAAGTGGAGATATATTTCTGTTAAGAACATCTCTTTATATTCTAAATAGTTTTGCGATGTATGCATCGGGTTTGTTTGGAGTTTTCAAATTTTCTATCTTGTTATCCTCACAAGCCTTCACCCTCCCACCACCCCCCTCTCTGGTCTTTTCTCCTCCCCCTCTACTCCTTCTCTACTCTCTCCTTCTCCCCCTTCCTTCTCCATCTCTTTCCCCTACCTCTTTTCTCCTCTGCTATGTTTCTCGCTAGTCGGTGTCTGACCTACTTTCTCAGATTGCTGCAGTGCTCTCCCCCTCTGTATCGTGAAAACACACTCACACACACACACACACACACACACACTAAGGTTCTCAGTCACCCTCCTACCCCCCCCCCATACCAGCCCCCCAGTCCCGGGGAAGCAGGATAGCACCAGCAGGACCTGCTCAGGATGTTTCCTCATTGGCTGGGCACCAGAATCCCTTCACGTGTAGAAATCAGGGCAACGAGGAGAGTTTTGCCTTGAGGTGTTATGCTCTTATTTTTTATGTTCCTGTTGCCATTATTCCTTGTGAGGATGTTAATGATGTGAGTAATATAATAACCAGGAGCACTGGTAGAAGATCTGAGTTTTAGCAAGCTGCAGTGCTTCCAGAGCTGAAGAAGAGTATCATTACACATGTACAAAGGAACTCACACACAAGAGAGTGCAAACTGAAAATAGTGGTAAAACTGCAGTTACATATCTTTTATGTAGGCTACACAGGTGGAGACACAGGAGGGGGTGGACAGGTGGGAGGCAGACCAGACGATGTGGATCCATGCGTAGAGAGGCACAAAGGAAAAAGAGTTGAAGCGGTCCAGGAGAAAGGACAGAGCGCTGTTGAAGTGAGAGAAGCTGAGGACTGCATGCCAGAGCAGTAAGCACAATTCAAACACTGACAGAGGAACGGATCCCGAGCTAAGATCTGCTAAGCTAAGCTCAGGTAGCTCATCATTCTGTTGATCTCGACATGATGTGACCGTGTCATGACAAGAGAACTTCTAAAAAGAAGTGAGAGTGAGAGGAGGAGTGCGAAGACAAAGAAAGAGAAGGAACGCTATCAGGACATTGAAGGGCTAATAGTAAATGACAGGCCTTCGCCATAAAAGCAAATTCTGTCAAGCAGAGGGACGTAGGGAGTTCTGTGGGTGCTTTTACTACACGTTAGTGCAGAAAGAAATCTAAAACTATTAGAACCTTAATGTCCACAGTACGTCAAAATGAATGCGTCTGACTAAAAGCGGCGTTAGTCAAGATGTACGATAATGTACAAAACCCCCAATCTGATGACAAACACAGAGGCTGCAGCACAGAGGTCCTCACCTCAAGATGTTCAACATGATCTGATTAAAAAATACATACATTACTCTGCTAAATTTGGCTGTTGACCAGTTAGTGCGCTGTCAAAATAATAAGTCTAAAAGCCAATGCTGTTCATGCTGAGCTGATACTATCAGAACATCATATATTGAATGCTGTGAAATCAGTGTTCATGTTTGACCACATCATGAGGCTCATCATTCACTGAAGAAACACTTTGGAACTATAACTGATCGGTTTAAACTAGGATGTCCCACGCACACATCCAAACGTTTTGTTCATTGCTGCAAGAAAATACTTTGGAGGTCGTCTTGCGACAGAGACACCTCCAAATAACAGACAAAACATAAATCAGGTTTTGGTATAAGCTCAAAATGAAAATATATGGACAAAGTAAAGATCTCACCCACAGTGTTGATCAGCTTTTATCCAGATCATTGTGTAATTGTGTTATTTAAATAAATTTAAATAAATTTCTATTTAACAATGAGCCCTGAACTACATTTTTTTACATTACTGTATTAATATACATCCACACAGAAAGACTTTCTAAGCATTTTGTCTTTCTTGTTTCTGTACAAATACAGCGAGGGCACCAGAGATTTGTAATGCAACCACAAAGCCTCTCCTGATTTCTAGATTCGCCCTCTTTCTCTAAATCAAACTTTGGCGTCGGGTGCTTTTACTGGTGGGAAATCTTAGACACACAGGAAATAACACGTCTGTGTTTCAATCTGAAACCCTGAGAATGAAATACAGAACATCCTCAACATCGGCAAGGAGAAACAATGACAGCTGAACTTTTCATTCAGTGAGAGACAAAAATACATTCAGGTCTGAGGGCACAAATTAGCACTGATAACATGCTAATTGCAGCTTTAACCTATAGGATGTGTTGCAATGAATTCGACCGTGCTATAACTAAA